AAAAAATTAAATGTAACACAGTGCAGTTCATAAGGTGGATCCCCAAGGGTTGCATAATTAAAGATTGTGGTGCTCAGCTGTTGGGCTTGCATATAAAACTTTAAAGGACTGCAGCGTGCCCCGGGTTCTCACCTGTGGTTGATTTTATGTGGTGGTGAGTTGCTATATAGGCAGAGGTAGCGATGGGTGGGGATTTTAACTGCCCAACGGATTAATAATAATTTATTAAATGTATATGCCATCCAACTCCCAGCGATTCTGGACTTGCAGTTAGCCAGCCTCTGTGACATTCCTGGTCCCAGTCCTTGTGTTCATGATCTCAAGCAACTGATCCCTGGAGCTGGTGGGCTTGATCCTGAGGATCATGGAGAGCTGTCACGGCCGGTCGCCACCGGCTGCCTTTTCCTTTACTCGACTCTTTTGAAACCAAGCTGGCAGCTGTTCCAATGTCCCTGCGGAGACCTTTTAGAAGGCTGAAACTTCCCTGGGGGGGATCAAATGATCTCTCGGTTTGGAAAGTTTGACGGCCGACCTTGCTTCAGTTGAGTCCTTGCAGGCACGCACGTGTTTACCTGGGAGAAAAGCGAGGTGCACATATAGGCTTGTAACTTTTCTTGCACTGGGCTGTTTGTAAGTTGAGCCATTGAGCCATCCCTTTCGTTATACAAAGGTGCAAGCGTCAATATTTTATTAGCAACGTATGAGATTTCTCCAGGCTGGTGAAGGTGGGCAGGGGTTGGGGGCGGATTGGGACAGCTTTACTTGAATGAACGTTTCGTATTCATTGCTCTTCCTGGGGGCAGGTCAAGTTGGAGGCGGTGTGGGAAAGTTGGCTGGGCCTTTATCTGCCAACGGTTGATATTTTGGGTTTTTGGACAAGGCAGATGAATTTACCTGCCATAGCTTTTCCTCTTCCTGCAGCTTTTCTGCCGTGTCGTCAAGTGCTTTTTCGCTGGGCCTCCTGCAACCCTTGACAGGAAATCCGAGTCTCGCAGCCAATTAGGTTTTGTTTCTGCTCTTGAAATCAGCTTTCTTAATGAGGAACCCCTTTGCTGAGTTTGGGGCATTGCTGACTGCCCTGGGTTCTGCTGCAGGGAGGGAATGGGAGATGAGGCTGTTTTTCTGTTCTCTAAATGCTATGATCCCCCCCAAGTATGTTCCCACTTCTATTTTGGCAAACTTGCCGCTATCGCGCTACCAAAATTCACCATCAAAACGCTGAAAACCAGTGGTGGGATTTCTGCTTCCTAAAATAGGGCGAGTTGAATCGCTTCCCAGTGAAGCAGCTAAAATTTCACTCCCCTTTCCTTGTCCTGACATTGTGTCAATGCTAGCATGTCCCCTTCTGTTCCCATCTAAATTCATCTCGGGCCAAAACTGGCTGACTGCCTCATGAGGGTATGTGTATGGATGGATCTGTGCAAAGTGTGTGTGTGTGTGTGAGATCTTGGCTTTGCCCACAATTTGCATATTGTCTGTCTCTCTCCAAGGGACTCTTTTGATAAAAATCTTTCCATCTGTAATTTATGTACTACCATGCTACAGATGTAGCCATATCCATCTGATAATATGATGTCATATATTCACAAGCCCTGTGTCTGGCATGGGGTCTCTGGCAGATTTTAATGTGACATGCACAGTTAAAATCGTCTCAGCTTAGGCGAAAGGCTGCAAGGTTTTTCCAGATTTCATGCTGACATCATTCTGGCTTGCCATCAGAAAGCTGGTACAGCCAAGCTAGCTTCCTTGTTGACAGATAAACATGGTTCTGTTCTAATTGTGGCCTACAGAAGCTTCATTGGGGGAATTGACTGCTCTTGTGTGAACCCGGTCTACCCCGAAAACCAGTCACATTCTCTTCTTTCGCCAGCAAATCACCGAGCTACGGAAAGAGAACTTCAACTTGAAGCTGCGCATCTATTTCTTGGAAGACCGTATGCAGCAGAAGTCTGATGGTCCCAATGACGATGTCTACCGAATTGTAGGTGTTGGGCGTTGCTGGGGTTCCTGGTCAATGATTTCCATGATGGCTTAGCCCGAGAAGTCACGCTTAGGGTTGGAGATGTGGCTTTTGTACACAGCTTGATTTCCAGCCAGGTCTTTCTAGCCTTTTTCTCTTCTTCTGTTAGAACATTGAACTCAAAGTCGAACTGGAGAGCGTGAAGCGAGAGCTGCAAGAGCGAGAACAATTGCTCAGGAAGGCATCGTGAGTATCTCCTACTGCTGTGTGTGGAAGACCCTCCTTATTTAGTCGTGTTTCAGAGGTCTTTCCTTCCGCAGGCTGGGCTGGTGGGGGAAGTACCTCCACCCTGGGTGGGTCATTTAGGGCTTCTGTGTAAACCCCTCCGCTGCTTCTCTCCTCCTTGATGGACCGGTGTTTGGCCTTTGCAGGAAAGCAGTCGAAAGCCTGGCTCAGGGTGGCGACGCTGAAATCCAGCGTCTGAAGCAAGAGGCGCAGAAGAAAGTTCAGGATGTCGAAGCAAGCTTGACTGGCAGGATCCAGCTTCTGGAGGAGGCAAGTCTTGGGGTTTCCTGGAATTCTTGGGAATTCCCACGTTTGGGTCTTTGGACACCATGGAGAAGAGGTCTGGCTGGAGTTTGCTGGCGGTGGGAAAAACAGCTTTTGCTGCACTGAGAGGGCCAAATCCAAGAAAAACTGGGGGATTCTGGGAATTGAAGTCCACACATCTTCAAATGGCCAAGACTGAGAAACACTGGTGTAGAGTTTGGGGAGATGGGCTGGAACCACCTTTATGGCGGAGTCTGCTCCATACTGGGTGGTGCCTTTTCAGTGCTGAGCGGTGGAGATTCAGGGTTGGCTTTCAGGCTGGTCCGACTGCCCCCTGGCTTCAGCTCCTCTTTTGCTTTCCGAGCGCAGGAGCTTAGAACGGCCCAGGGAGAAGTCGAGAAAGCGCTTGCTTTGACGGAGCGGGAGAGGGTCCAGCGACTGGCCGCTGAGCAGCAACTTTCCTTGATCGTCGCTGCCCAGCCCAAGGATCTGGATGTCACGGCAGTGCTGGAAGAGAAGGACAGGTTAGGCCGCTGGTCTTAACGCCCAAGGGCAGGCGCGTTTACCGGTTGTCCTGGAGAAGGTCAGCCTGGGGCACCCGTCCCTGTCACCTGCTCCCTCCATCCTGCAAGTGGATCAACCTTCGGCTGCTCCGTGCTTTCTCCCTGCCTGCGGGGTAAGACGCTGGTGTTGTGCTCGTAGGTGCATAGAGCAACTGAGGCTCTCTCTGGAAAGGAGAAACGCTGCAATCCAGCACTTGGAGGAAGCCCAGAAGAGGGCTTCAGAAGAAAGCCAAGATCCTACTGTTGCACTGAATGATGAAAAAGAGAAGGCCTTCAAGGTGAGGAAAACATGGGTTGGGAGGTTGTAAAAGATGGTCCATAAACTGGTCGGGAGGCTCCCCGCCCGTGGATGCTCGTCCGTTCGATTCGTATGGCCGCCCATCTCACTACCAGTGACTCTGGGTGGTGAACAATCATGAAACAAATTGCCATCTCGTTACAAAAAGTAAAATACACACCGCAGCCAAGGAGGATGTTATAATCCATAATGAAGCATCTTAGAAGATCTTTTATTTTGCCTCGCCCTCTGTCCATTGTTAAACACCTGCATATCAACCTCCCACTTCCCACGTGGATGGAATTGGCGAGGGGAGGCAGTAGGATCTCTTGAATCCTGGGATTTGTACTCCAAGGTTCTAGTCCTCATGAATTCACATATGGTTCTCTCCCTCCCCTCCCATTCCCTTGATTTTTGCACGCTGGTAAGCGGCGGTGGCGAAGAGGCCTCTATCGTTCTTTATTTTATTTTTTTTAACGCTGAAGTTAAACTTGTTTCTGCTCCGGTAGATTCTGAAGACAGAATTCAGCAGTGAAAAAAGGGCCTTGAAAAAAAAGGACTGAGATATGCTACTCGCTTTCTTGCATGTCTGGGGAGGGAATTCTAGGGGAGCTTTCTCCCTTACAAATCAGTTTTCTGGAAGCAAGGAAAATATGGAAATAGAACTGCTGTAGCAATTTCCCCATGTTGTCTGCTCTTTGGTTGACCTTGGTGGAAGTATTTTAATGCATACAGCATGGGCGTGTTAAAACAGAGTTGCCGTATGCATTTACATTTTTTTTATTTTAATCTTTAGCATCTCCAGGAGGAGCTGCGGGAACGGGAAACGGAGCTTTCTGCCGAAAAGAGAAACGCGCTGAAACGAGACAAAACTATCCAGGGATTAACCCTTGCTTTAAAAACCAAGGAAAACGAGGTACCTGGATTTTTATTTTTTTCCCCCCCCTGCCAGAAACAGATCTGAAGGAACCAAATGAAGTCTGGAGGCTGTAGAATGGATCAAAACATAAAAGCTGGATCAGACTGAAAGTCCCCCTTTCTACAAAGGCAAGGCAAACTATTTCAGAAAACCGACAGACAGGAAGCTGAACTCCTTCCTCTGCTGCCATTGTTAGAGCTGGTCTCTGAAGGCCAGGCTTAAGGAATCTGAACCTCTGGAGTTCTTCCCTGCAGCCTTGCATATCCCCCCAGGCCCCCCGGTGCTAGAAAAGTTACAGCTGGAAAACCCAGGATTTTTGTTCCTCCATTACTAAGATGGGTCCAAAACCTGCCTTTGTGAGAAGTATGCTTTTTCCAAAAATGATTTCTTTCTCTGGAGCAAGATGCCCTCTCCTCCTTGTGATCCTTGCTGGTTTCCCTCGGTGCCGATTTTTTTCTTTCTTCTTGTTTTAGAACAAAGAGCTCACTTCTGAAGTCGAAGGTCTGAAGGGGTTGTTGGCCAAGGCTAAGGAGACCAGCCACAAAGCTGAGATGCAGAAATTCAAGGTTCGCTCTTGGATCCTGGGCAAGGGAATTGAACTAGATTAATTTTAATTCCACCTTTATTATTTTTATGTATAACTCAAGGCGGTGAACATACCTCCTCCTCCTTCCTCCTTCTATTTTCCCCACAACAACTCTGTGAGGTATGTTGGGCTGAGAGAGAGGGACTGGCCCAAAGTCACCCAGCTGTCTTTCCAAATACTTTCCAATCCTTTCCTTCGCTTTAAGGGAAACACAGTGACTGAACCCTGCTGTGTCTCATGGAGACGGACAACCTTACGAGAGTGTAGAAGGTTGGGGTCCCAAAGCAGGATATTTTGCCATAAAAAATTCACCACTGTTAAAACCAAGTATATGTGAGGGAAGGCTGGTCTGGCACTGTTATTTTCTCGTCCTAGAGTGCTGAAGATTCTCAAGAGATGCTGATGGAGAAAGAGAGTCTTCTGGCAGACTTGCGTTCGCAAAACCTCACCAAGGACACGGAGAACAGGAAACTCCAACGGAAGATTAAGAAGATCGAACAAGAGCTGAGCGAGCTGCTGCTTGAGAAGGAGAAGCTGGTGAAAGAACTCGAAGAAGCTCAGCTGCAGAAAAGCAGAAGCGACAAAACCATCAATGTGAGTGTACTTGTACTTTTGAGAACTAGGGTTGTTGGAGCAGGGGGCTAGCATTGAGGGAGGTGCCACTAATATCTTTGACACCTGAATTGCTGCTGATGTTATGTCAAGCATCAGCGGGCCTCTGTCCTACCAAAGCATCATAACACCTTTAGGGAGCATTCATGGAACCCCAGAGTTAAATAAAATAAACGCTTCCAATAAATGGGCAAATCTTTGCCCAACGTTATTTTAGGCAAGACTGTTGGAATCATCCAGGATTTCTCTCCCTTACCTGTTTTATAACCTTGCAGCCTTTACCTACCTACCTATTTACCTACACACTTTTTACAAACGAATTGTATGTCATCGCTTGAGGGCTTGTCACCTGGAATGATGGCAAGTCTCCTTAAAGCACTTAGATTCAGCTACTAGGAGCATCCGATGTGTCTAAAAGACAAAAAAAACCCCCACACACAGCCCAGCTGCTGTTAAAATGCAGGCGCATCCATCTTGCCTAGGTGTTTTTGGAAAAAAAACCCCTCTTCTCCAAAGGTGACTGAACAACCCAGAGCGACTTCTGACTGTATTTTGCTAGGCATCCCCTTTGAAGCACAAGCCCTACTTGTTCGCTCTTCTAAGAAGTTGACAACTGCGGCTAGGTTTCAGGTCTTGTGTTCTTCCCTTTCTATGGATTGACTTGGCGTTGTTGTTCAGTCGTTAAGTTGTGTCCGACTCTTCGTGACCCCATGAACCATATCGCGCCAGGCCTTCCTGTCCTTATTGGACACCTTCCAACCTGAGGGGCTCATCTTCCGGCGTCATATCTTTTAGCCTTTTGACATTGTCCATGGACTGCTAGGAGGTCAAACCAGTCAATCTTCAAGGAAATCAACCCTGATTGCTCATTGGAAGGACTGATAATGAA